GAGAATTAATTATATAAGAGGCATTAATCACTGTATAAGGCAAAAATCTCCTATTGTTTTCGTCCTTTTAATTTCTTCATAATTTAAGTATGCAATATTTTTTCTGTTTAATTGATTTATATATCCATGTCCTGATAGCCCTTTTTCTCTGTTCAATAACTTTATATCTTTATCCATCTATCTAAGAAAAGGAACCGGTGATTAGGTAGGGAATCAACTATCAAATTACTTATGAGTTATGATGGCCTAATTCTAAGCTTCATCATTGTTTCAGGTGGAGTATCTCACACTCATCTCCTTTACGTGTTTCCATTCTCTCACACATTTACCTTCACTAAAACATGGATTAGATGGTTTTCTATGGTGTAAAGCTACGAAACACCGATACTCCTAAAAAAAAATTTCAACGTATTGGATACACGTATCGGAAACGTATCGGACATGTATTGTTTGATAATCGGCATCCTGTATTATCGAGAATGTATCGAAAACGCCGTATCGGTGCTTCATACTGTAAAGTATCAAAGATTAATTTTCTTGTTAGCTTGGAGTATTTACTTTTTACCCAAACATGGGTAGATGGGTGACTTTTTGGAAAGTTTTCTTTCCCATTGATTCTCAAATGGTACACATGTACTACCATATTTTTTTTGTCTTGGAAAAATGTTGATATTGCCTTCGTCGACATTTTGATCAAGAAGAATAATTGAGTTTTAAATTTTGGTGCAGGGTGTCAAAACAACTAAACAAGGTGGCGTTAATATTATAATTCGCATAGTAATATTGAAATTACTTTTTAGTTTAAATTTTTTTGGGTTAATGCTGATAGTAACAAGTCCTGTTATCTTATTAACTCAGGTGCAACAAATGAGAATAAGAGATATCTTGTTGCGTTTGATCTTCAAATGTCACTAAATGGTGTAAAATATTATAAAATGATATTAGATTATCATCGCAGTTTTATATGTACGAGGTATTTAAAAACGAAAAAAGCTTATGACTTGATGCAGTGAGAAATATAAACAACGAAGATTCAACCCAATATCAAACAAATCAATAAAATTCGGTGACCTAGTCATGTACAAGATATATATATATTTTTTTTTAAATAGAAGTTTAAGTGGGGTTAGACACCGGTATCCCACTAGGGTCAGGGAAGACCTCCCAACCTCTTTGAGGATTTCTGGGAGGGATTACATATCACCCACCAACAAAGTCCTCACATCGGTCAGCAGGGTTTGAACCCACGCCCTTGAGGAGTATGGACCAAACCCTTAGCCAACTGTGCCCACTTTTGTTGGCATGTACAAGATATTTTGTCTATAAGAAGATTCGCTACAGATATTCTAATTCCTTCCTACCATAATTACTTGAATTATGCCAGTGGCTATTTACATTTGACATACTGTTACGCAAAAAGTAAAAGCATTACTGTTTGTTTGTTTTAATGAAATTTAGCGTTTGTTTTGTTTGTTTTGATGAAACAAACAATTACAGTAACATAAAAAGTAAAAGAGAGAGAGAAAGGAATTAAGAAGCTGGGAGTAGGTTGACTGCTCCAATATCAGATTCAGTGAAAAATAGTGTTTGATTTAACTTGGGACTATGGAGTCGGACTCGGAGTCCTAGTTTTTTTTTTTAATGAAGTGGTAGTGGTAGTATAAAACCAAACCTGCTTCTATAGCCTCATGACATTGGAGAACATTGTTTAGGTGCTGCAGCCTCTCCCTCTTGGGTCATTGACCACGGTGACACGGTTTTAAAATTTTTTTACCGATGTGTCACGAGGTTCAAAAATTTTGCCAAAATATCACGGTGGCAAATTCACTATCAATGGTAGCAAGTTTCAATTGCCATGTGTTACGAATTGATAGGCCAGCAAATTCATTGCCATTGACAGTGAGTTTCTGACAACTTGACAAGTGTACCTTGTGGCTGGTGTAGAAAGTAGGTTGACCAATATGACCGCTCAAACTTGCTGTCACTGACAGCAGGTTTGGTGGCTTATCATTTCGTGCCACATGACAGTCCAAACCGACTGCCACCGACAACGGATTTGTCACCCTGACATTTTGGCTTTTTATTCGTTGTTCAGTGTCGGAACATTGATTGTATTGTCACACTTCTAAAAACTAATTTTCAGTATGCCACAATGGTTTATCTTTTTGCCAAAATACCACAGTGGCAAGCCCGCTATTAGTGGCAGCGAGTTTCAAGTGATCAAAACGATCAATATTCTAGTGCATGTGGGACATGTGGTAGGCTTACAAAAACTTGTTGTTAATTGCAGCGGGTTTCTCACATAGGTTTTTTTTTACCGTTCCAACCACATGTTCAATATGCAGGCTTTTTTTTACCGTTCCAACCACTCAAAACTTGTTGCCACTGACAACGGGTCTCGTGGCATCAGATTTCACGCCACGTGACAATTGAAATCTACTACCATTGACAACGGGTTACCATCGTGGTATTTTGGCAAAAAGTTAGACCACCATGGCAAACTAGAAATTAGTTTTTAAAAACGTGAACAATAATCAATGTCCAATACCCTGCATGAAAGAAAATGGGAAAGAGAGCATTTTTAATGCTCCAATACCATCATTTTTTGAGTGATCCCTTTATATAAATGAAAGGATGAAAATGGGAAATTGAAAAAATAATAAGGATAAAAAGAAAAAGAAAAAATTAGTGTTGTGAATAAAAAAGTTATTGGATTGGTTCAGGAACATAAAAATATTTCCCTGATCGCATGCTAATTAGACAGGAAAATGCCAATTCTTACTGATTTGACTCCTTTTCATTATGGTTAAATAAACTGATGATTAATCCCCCCTTCCCTTCTTTAGTCTCTTCTTTTTCCGGGGCCTCCTCCTTTATTTATTTTAGAAACTTACATTCTTATAGCATGCTCCAAAACACCAGAGTACAAACTTTAGCTTTCCGTATAACAGAGGAATTTGTTTTTGAATAATAAGCATATTTCATGTTCTGACAAATTCTACTCTCTCTCTCTCTCTCTCTCTCTCTTCCTCTCTCTCTTAGTAGATTTTGTATACTTTCTTTTTAGTATTATTAATAATTAAAATCTAGAAAATGAGTCTTGAGTTATTTAATAGAGTCTAACATGATATTTCACGAGTATTGAATGCAAAAGATATGTTAATAACATTCTTCTTCACGCCTTAGCTGTTGCTATGCTTCAGTTAATTGACGCCTTAGAAGTTTAAAGTTCTAGGTTTAAACTTCAGCAATTGGGTTCCCGGTCTTTGAAATATCCACTAGACTTTCTAAGGCTCGGTAGCTTTTGCAATCGTATACTAACCAATCAATTCTCATATTTCACACAAGGAATTTCCCAAGAATGCAGATATTTCAGTTTCAGTGGCCAATATGACGTAATTTCCCCTCAAGAACTGTAAATCCGTCAACAAAATAACTAGGAAGCTGATGAAAGCCCTCACGACGTGCGTAGTCAAGGGATTGCAAGACTAAATATAATTAAGTATAAGCATTACATTTAGAAGGGTGAAATATGCTGGGATAACAAAAAATGAGAAGAGAACTTCGTTTAAGTTATGAAAAAAGGTGTACATATATACACATAGAAAATGGATCTTTTAACTCCAATACATAATTAAGAAATCTTCCTCCCCATCTTAATCATTAATTTATGTTTATCTAATGGCTATTATTTATTAAATTATATTAATTAATTAATTATTAATTTCAAACAAATTACAGCCATTAAATAAATAAAAATCAACGGTTGCAATGGAAAACAACACTTCTTAATCTTATACTGAAAATATATATTACATATATATATATATATATAAGGTAATATATTCTTATTATCAATTTCTTCTACTATAATTCCATTACCACTCTAATCACCATTGAATTAGAGAAAAAATTGAATGTAAAGATAGAAAAAAAAAACAATTTTTGAATCCAATACTGATTAGAGTGATAAGAGAAAAAAAATTAATAATAAAAATATCCTACCTTATATAGTAATGCATAAACCGGATAAGTATAGCAAAAACGCACGTTTTCAAAAGCAGTAGCAAAACTGAAATCCGAGCTCTCTATATCTTTTCATCTTAGTAATCTTAGTACGGAATAAGAACTAGGCTGTGTGTCACACAAATACGCAGACATATAATAAGAATCATCGCACAAATGCCATAAATAAGAATCATCACACAAACGCCAAAAATAACAGCATAATAGAGATGAGGCTGGATAGTATGCGGTCTTACCATTTCTCCAAGATTCGCCCTCACAAAGGCCATAAATCAAGAAAGAAAAACAATACTAAGAAGATAGTAAGAAAAGACCAAATGAAGATTTCTACTGAAGCTTATTTGAGATATTATCATAATAATAATATAAACAGATGAGGTGAGCATAAAAGAGAATGACCTAGCATAGGCAATAGGCATTAGGCTCTAAACAGGATTGGATGATGAATTCTCAACATTGAAAAAGAAACTTTGAACAGTTGCCATTAAATAGTGAGGACTATAGACAGAAGCAATAGAGGCTTGTGAAGTCACATACAATAGACAATGTATCAAGTTATGCACTAGCCTGATCAGCGTATCTCAGCACTTTGTCTGGTGCTTCTGCTACTGCTTAGAGGGGCAGAAGTCTGACTTGAGAGTTGCACATCAGAGAGCGAGACAGACCCACCTTGTGAGAAGATTAAACCAACAGAAGTACCAGAAGAAGAAGGCATTCTAGCTGAAAAGGATTCCGTTTTGGACCCCGACATCAGTTCAGGCCGAAGCTCTGAAGATGTTGTTGGAGGAGCTAGGTTAGACAGCAAAGACCCAACAGGGTATGGAGTAACTGGCATCTCAATGAGAGAAGACGCTGATGGACTGTACCTCATAGTCCCCAGAGGATGGTCAAATTTGCACGTGGAGCCAAACTTGCAATGCCCATTTTGCAAATAAAATGCACAAGGTTGTACCCCCTGTTTTCTAGAAAACGAATTAATTAAGAAAAATTCCCAAAAGAGAACACATAAATTGCAATGCTACAACACAATATGAGAATGTGATCAAGAACAATTAACTATTTCATAGCTCATAAAATTAATACTTCAAACGAGTAATATAAGTCCTTTAATCAGTCACTTAACTCTGAACACTAGTATAAATGAGAGGAAAAACAAATATATGAATTGATAAGTTAAGCTATAATTAGGGTGGCTAACTCCATCATGAATAATGCCGCTTGCACAAAATTTGCAGTCACAACTCACAAGTGCGCACACTGCATCTAAAGTCTACGCAGGCCCCCTGAATTCAAACGGAGCAACTTGTGCTGTTGTGTATCCAAGTGCTGTTTAAATAGCATCTTTCCTCAATAAGAGGGACAAAAAAAGTTGACCACAACCAAAATTTACTCATAATGTAACGATGAATCCACATCCTTTATGCTGTAGTCCCCATCTCAGATCTTATATTTCCATATCATATCCCCCCAACCATGATGACACAAAACATGCAAGCAACTTGAGATAGAACGGAAACTACCATGCCACAACTTTTAACATTTAGTACATCACTTTATTGACGTCCTGAGTTGGAAAATGGAAAGCCTTAACCATCCATTCTGAACTAAGTTTCTCAACACCTTGGGTTTCCATATGCTGAAGAACCATTCAAAAATGATATCCATATAAAACAGTCACGAGCTAGTAAATTTATTGTTCAAACTTCAAATAATATTAAATGTCAGACACTTAGCATGCAACAAGCCACAGTAGTATGAAAAGCAGGTTTTACATTAGGACTTATATATATATATAAAAAATCATTTACGTGTTTTCACCCAATAACTTAAGGTTTTAGCGGAGTTGGTCCTTGACATGATATCAAGGCTTGAATGACAAAGTGATCATGATTTTAATCCTTGCCACCTCCATTCTTCTAATAGAAAGTCGAATTCCAGTTCTCAAGTCCAAAAAGGCTTTTGCTGAGGAGACATGTTAGATATACAAAACCAACCATGTGCCATCAAGGACCAACTCTGCAATTGTGCAAAACAAATGTTGAAAATTATCCTTGACTTCAGATCCACTGTTATCCGCTTTGACCTTAGCGCAACTGAAAGAGCAGTTTGTCTAAATTGCCTACAGATTTTGGTTTCTAATAAATAGGAAGTACTGGCGGTGTGCCCTGAGCAGAATAAATGTGTTATTTACACATTTGTATATGTACATTTACATGGATAATATCCAAAAATATAGCTTTAAAGTACCATACAACTTAATATTTAGCTAAATCTAAGAAAGTTAAACTGTCAATATAATTTATCAAATCCAACGAGTAACCATACTTACCGTACGTAAAGGAAGACCAATGGAGCTAAGAAGTGGCCGTGTCACGACCTGGTCCCGAGGATGATGATATCGACAAGCTAATCCAAATTTACAGTCCCCTGTTCTCAGATAGTATTGGCATTCAGGTTCACCAGGTCTTTCAGGAAATACTTGTTCCTTCTGGTTGCTTCCTGAAGGGCCAATAGAAGAGGCAAGAGGAGTATATGGTCCAGCAAAAGCTGATGTTGATGACGATAACTGGGTCACTCCATATAGAGAAGTAGCCCCAACAGAAGGTTGAGCGCCAGGAGATAACACTGGACTTACAGGTGCCTGCCCCAATTTAAAAAACATCACAATAGAGTAACTACTTAATCAAAGAAAAGATTCGACTTTTCACCAAGTTTTAGAGCATATATGTACATATACATATGTCTCTCTTACCGAATAAGGACTCCATCCAGTAAATGGAACAACCCCTGGGGAAAGAAGTACAGGACCATAAGCCCCTTGTACATATGAACCAGGCAATATAGGAGGCCTAGCCACTCTCAAGCTCGTGGAAGCTCCTCCATACTGTTCAGGCAGAGGAACCGTAGGAGACTGCACCTGTTGATAAAATTGAGGTGCAGATGCTGGCAATGATGTGCCGGAAGGTTGAGGATGATGGAATTTACAAGTTATACCAAATTTGCACTGCCCCGTTTTCAAATAGTAGGAGCATTCTTTCTCACCCTGTTTAAACAAAAGGCATGACTTAATCATTGCATAAATTGCTGTCAATTACATGAGGGAGAAGAAGAGCACAGAGAAGAGTCAAACCGGCCGTAACGGGCATCCATAAATATTTAGTGGAGCTTGGCTTAAATATCCACCTCCATGTCTGGGATGGTGGAATTTACAGGATGCACCAAATTTACAGGTTCCAGTTTTTAAATAATACTGCTCATCAGAAGAGATCCAGAATTAGTATAACCATTTTAAGTTGGAATTGGAAAGATAAGAAGAAATTTCAGGATTTTACATTGAGAAGATCATTTAAAAAATAAAGAAAAAAGAACCTATACCTGACACGCAGGTTCCCCCACCCGTTCTGGGTAATCGCCTGTAGCTCTTACTGCCGCAGCAACCTGAGCAATATATTCATACCCTTCAGCAATCATATGTTGCTTAATAAGATGGAATATAAAGTAAGTCACCTACATCCTTCTTACCCTTTTTTCCTAACTAACTTGGGTTTATGCAAAACACAACCAATTTACCCTCTAAAATGAATTTGCAATTGACAAGGTCAAAATTCAATTCCCTCTTTCTAGCTTAAAAAAAAAGAAAAAAAGAAAAAAGGATAAGTGAACAACCGAAGAAGATAACATTAACCATTTAGGAATGACACTAACACCACGAGCAAAAAGCAAGAATGATGTCTAGTACTAAAACCAAGAGCAACGAGACACTTCCATCGAATTCTAACCTAATGCAGATATCTGAAAATGATGGAAAGGGTTACCGCAGCACGATCACGGGGGTGATTGTAACGACACCTGCCACCATATCCACAGAACCCGGTTCGCATGTAATACACACAATTGGGTACACCGGGTCGCTCCGGGTAAGATTCGCCGCCACCCAGCGTTAAATGCCACATCGATTCTACATCACCACCCAAAATCGAGAGAGAGAAAAAACCCTAATTAGAAGCCAGAAACCAAACCCCTAACCTAACTTCCACTTTAAGGAAACCCTAAACAGAATGAGAACAAAAGCGAACACCTTCGAGACCAGTGTCGGCGCCCGGTGAGCGCCATTCGGGTTGATTTACCGGGTTAGATCCATTCCTCGCGGAGCTCCGACCGTAAAAGTCCATGAAAACGGGTTAGTCTTAGGTTGTTTGAGGTTCCTGTACAACAAGTTACAGAGTTTACAAGACAAAGGTAAGATCGGAGAGGTCGTGTTCCTTCCTTCCCCGTCGCGAAACCCAGAGACAGAGATAATAGGTTTTGTTCACACTTCTACTGTAACAAAAGCGTGTGTTCGTGTTCTTGTTCGTGTGTGTTGTCTCTCTCTCTCTCTCTCTCTCTCTCTCTAGGACTGTACGGTCTGCGGTGTGGTGTGTTGGCCTTACTGTGTTTTCTGTATTATTTTCGTTTTTCTTTTGTTTGGGGTTTGGTAACGAGTGCGTACCCGCCAAATAGCGCAAAATGTTATGTTTCGCGGAATATCATGGTTTAAAACGAAAAAGGTTGTTTTTCAAAAATAAAAAAAATAAAAATGAATAAGGTTGTGCTAATGAGTAACCGACACTCGTCCTTTATAAAATGACGCAAATGTCCTTCGCCTTCCAACATCTTGTGTTTGGTTGGTAGTTGTTGACTGGCATGGAGTCTGATCTTACACAATGATAAAATATATTGTATTGGAGGGATATTTTTTAAGGGATTTGCATCTATTATGTCGTTGCATGACATAATTTTTTTTTTTACACACATAATATTTTGTGGGGTTTGTACTTTTTAAAACAGAAAAAAAAAATAAGGCACGCAAAATAAATCTCTATAATATTACTTAATCACTTTTCCTACAACATAACTCTTATAAAACTTATTTTTTAATGTGAAAATTATTTGTCATTTTAAATGATATAAAGCTATGTCATTTTAGGAGAGAGATAGATACAAAAGAATTTTTTTATTTTAAATTTATATTTTAAAAAAACCACCCAATTTCTCTTCATGATTTTTATTTCTTGTGTCTATCTCTCTTCTAAAATGACATAATTTATGTTATTTAAAATGACAAACATCAAACATTTATTAATTTATAACAAATTAAAATACATTTAAAAGTATAAAATGTTTGTGAGTAAAATTAAGAAAAATTTTAAAAATGTGATTTGAAAATTAAAATATATAATTAGTTTAAAATAATTTGAATTCAAAATAAAAAATGATTTGACAAATTTAATTACTCTGAAAATAGTTTTCAATTTACTATAAAAGATAAATTAATTGGACAGATTTGTCATTCTAAGTTAGGGTCGTGGATATTTTGATCTGCTTAAATTCCAACTTGATTATTTTTCGACCTGGTTTTGTGTGTTCTGGGCTAAGGAAAAATTGGTGGAGCAGAGAGGTAAGAGAAAGAGAGAAAAGATCAAGGAGAGAAAAAAGAGAAAGACAAAAAAAATAGTCTACCTATTAATATTTTAAGGTTTTATAATTCTTAAGTTACATGAAAATCAAAATTTTATGTTGTAGAGACAAATAGATTAATATATTAAAAAAAATTATGTGTAAAACTCACATCAACACAGAAATCGAAAGGTGAGTAGGAAAGTTTCAATTCTCAGTTGAATCTCTAATTATAAAATCCAATTTTTTAATGGATGAATCACGATAATGCTGAGCCATATTAAAAAATTTCTTATTTTTTCTTTTCTTATGTGGGGATGAGGAAGGTTTTCAAACACTCAATAGATTATGTATTAATGTCACGTCATTCTCATTTTTATTTTTTACTTTTAGTAAAATATAATATTACATGACTTATACTTATTTTTATTTTTAGTAAAGAGTATCTACAGTAGAAAAATAGTGAAGATTTACTCCATTTGGAATTGTTTCCTGTGCTATTTTAAAAATGTGGTATAATTATGGAAGGAGACCTACCCTTTCAGACTTTCAATGCTGCTCTCTCGTGTATGAATGACATTTTTAATTTATTTTTTTAAAAAAAACTAAAATAATTTCATTTTTAAATATAATACCACCCGCATTTTATTAATGCGAAATTAATCTCGCACATCTCTCGTATGCGAAAGTTACATTTAAAAAAAAAAAAGTTCAAATACCCTCCGGTGATTTATCTTTGAATCATTTATTTTTCTATGTATTTTTTTATTATTTATTACCTATGTTTTTTTCCATTCAAATCATTTCTTAATAGCGTTTCTAATTAATTTGATTATTTTACCGATTTTATAAAAATATATTTCAACTACCTTTTGTCATATTCTTCCCCAAACTTTGTAAGGATTTTTTTACCATACAAAATTTCTCCAATTTTATACAAAATTTATAAAATCCGTTTACATTCTCTATTTCATGAAGTACCAAATTGTAGCCTCTAAATAAAAAATCCTACTTATTTTACACCACTTTGTTACCTTCCCATTTAGCAACGAAGCAATAAGCGAATGTCATAAGAACACGTATTTTTTAAGAGAGAGGATATTCTTACTACTAAAATTTTCTACTACCAATTTACTATTTATCTAATCACCATTTCGTGTCACGTGACCACATTACGTATCAAATTTGCTACTACAACTAGCGAATTTCGCCCAATCAACTTTTTTTCTGCAAAAAATATGCCATGTGTCACAAAATCATGGTGAATGTAATTTGCTACCAGTCGTAGTAAATTTCGTTTATTCGCGTGATATTTGAATAAAAAATGTATCAAAAAGTTACACTTTGATCGATGTTTGAGGTAGTTTATAGGAAAAGTAAAGCGGGGGGAAATTGAGAGAGGTAAGATTTATCCGAAGAGGAATTGGGGGATATGATTAATGTTGTCAAAATCAAATTTCTACTTAGAAATTGAAGGGAATGATAGAAATCTATATCGTAGAAACGAAACGAAACATAAAGTTTCTACTAACTAAGGTCAAGACACAAAATTATATATATATATATATATATATATCACGTAGGTTACTACTCAAAATTCAATGAACTATATTATATTTAAAAGATATAAATCACATTATTATATATGACATAAGTCCAAAAACACAAAAAAAAAAAATTAACAACTCTTAAATGAAAATACAGCAACCTCTAGTGAGAGTTTTTTTTTCCAGATAGCTAGAAGAAGATACTGTGCATTTGATTTGAGGAAATGAAAATAGGATTTTTTTTTTAATTTTATTTTACTAAAAAATAAAAATAAAATCAAGTCATGGGTTAAAAGTTGATCCCTTCAATTTTTTATTTGAGTAAAAACGTAAAAATTTATGTTTGTATCGATTTTACGCGTAGTTTTTACCAATTTTTATTATTTTTTGGGTTGATGTTATTTAAATTATTTATTTTGTTACATATATAAATATTAGGAAAAAGTTCATCAATACCTTTGTGATTTACTTTAGAATCACCTATGCCCATGTGATTTTTTGTTTATCACATATGCCTCTGTAGTTTGTAAAAAGTAAAAAACTATTTGCAAACAACAGCGGCATATGTGATATAAAAAAAATTACAGGGACATAAATGATTATGGAGTGAATCACAGGGACATTGGTGAATTTTTTCCTAAATATTAACAATCAATTTTAAATTTATTTTAAATTTTTTAACTCGAACAGTTAATTTATAATTTATCCAAATATGGTTCTAAGTATACTTTGATATGATTATTTGTTATTTCTACTACTAAATAAATTAAGGGTTTTATAAGTATAATGTTATAGGATATAAGAAAATTTTCTTACCCTCACAATAAAGAAGAGAGAGAAAGTGAAATGATGTAAGAGAAAAAAGAATATGTAGATCCCACCTCTTAATTGTGTGTGTAGAGAAATTTTATTGGGTCATGTAACATGATATTAATAAAATCCATAAATTAACTGAAGATATAATCTAATTGAATTATTATTTTGTATTGTGAAATATAAAATTTTTCGGGTTAATATTATTTAAAAATATATATCAAAACGAGCCCTTTGGGAATGTCGATGACACGTGTTTACTGCGCATGGTTGAGTTGGATTGAAATTGAATTGGAGTTCAAGTTGTACAGCATAGATACGATTCTTTCTGGGTGCAGTGCAGCTATGCTATCATCAACAATTACGCAGAAAAATTAAAAGTCAAGGGAGTGGAAGCCCTAGTTTATTACTATTGGAAGAAAAAAGAGAATGAGATTTAGATTAAGCAATCTGAATCCCATATACAAAACATGCATCACAACCCTTTCCTCTTCAAAATTTCTTCCCCCTGTTTTGGAATCACTGAATTTGTATTGTTTTGTTCCTTCTCAAAACTCCGCTTTCAAAATCCCAAGGAGATGGCATTTTGGTCATTCCCACCATGATCATGATCATGATCATGATCGTGATCACCACCTCCCTCACTCTCAGTTTGAGGGAGAGAACATTTTCCGGCTGGGTCTCGCCGCCGACATTGGTTTAGCCGCCGGAAAAGCCTTCACCGGCTATCTTACCGGTAGCACTGCCATTATCGCCGATGCTGCCCATTCCGTATCCGATGTGGTAAAACTCACTCACCGCTTCTTCTTCGATGGTTCATAAGTGGAACTTAACTTGTCTTTTCCTCATGTATCGTTTTGTGTCTTTTGTGTTGCAGGTTCTTAGTGGCATAGCTTTGTTGTCTTTTAAAGTTGCCAAGGCGCCTAGAGATAAAGAACACCCATATGGTCACTTCATTTGTATCTACACGCTACTCCATTTTTCTCTTATGCATCAAGTTACTGTTTATTATATATTATGTAGATGTAGTCTAGGGGTTATTTGGATATGATTGGGTTGCTTATCTGTTAGGTTACATGAAATATTGATCACATTATGCTCTTTTTCTCCCTTGTTATTTTGTTGTGATTACTGATTAGTCCGGTGCTTGCCATTCATATGTTATTTACTATGTTTTATGAGGACTTCTTCTTCCCCCTAAAAGGTTTCTATGTCTGGTATGGTCACATTTCTCTGTCATTGTATATCTCAGGACACGGTAAATTTGAGACTCTAGGAGCTCTTGGGATCTCTTGTATGCTTTTGGCAACTGGGGGTGGCATTGCATGGCACGCAGTGGACATTTTGATGGTATGGCTTGAATATTGAAATTCAAACTTCAATCTCGTTGTTGCTTGACTTATTCCCTTGAACAACACCATTTAAAGAAATATATCCCTAGGCGGCTGTTTGATACTTGGAAGTCATTGTTATGCACGTGCAGGGATTGTTCTCATCTGGTCCTGAAGTGGTTAGCCAGGCATTGGCGCACGGGCATGTGCGTAGCCACCAAGATGGTGGACATCACCATGGAATTGACATGGATCATCCTATCCTTGCTTTGAATATGGCTATTGTGTCAATATGTGTTAAAGAAGGGTACTGCTACTACTTAATACTAATATCTACCAGGGTGAGGAGGTTCTAGTACTCCTTATGCCTACTCTAGTCACCGATGTCCTGTGTCAATTTGACTAGTCCGTCATTGGGTGGTATCTGATGCTTTTCCACCTTGAGTATAACATATGAATCAATACAGTTTGATGTGATCTCAAGTCAATAAGGGAGATAGGAAAGGAAAATCACTAAATAGGAAAACTGGTATGTACAAGGGCTTCCTTGTCCTTTTCTACCTATTTTGACAACTTAACCATGGAAATGGTATTTGGCTTGATTGAGGAAGCCTGGCCTCACAACATAATTGCTTAGGGGATGAAATTCGCTGATGCTTTCATTCAATAGAACAATGATTTAAATATCAACTACAGAACTCAAAGAAAACTGTCCACTACCAACATGCTAATAACTACCCATATGCTACTCCCCAATAGCCACTACCTACGGTTACTAAGTGCAGTAGAATAAGTCAAATACAATAACTACCAAGACGAAGTCAGATTAACAGACAGAGAATACTATATCAGAGAATATAACAGCTGGTTTCCTGACAAAACCTTTGAGAATAACGTTTAATTGAATAAACCCCTGAAAAAATTAACTAAGCTATTGTTTTAGTTATGTTGGCCCAGCACTTACTTTCTTAGGGAATACATCATTGTGGCCTTTTTAACTCCTTGACCTTTCCTCATTTGATGAGGTCTAAATTGAATCTCTTAAATTTTGTTGGGCTTCCAACAACAGAGCCTAGTAATTTGAGCTCCTTTTCCTTTGTTCCTGTCCTTTATTGATGGCCTCTATGCTTTGATTAACATGTCCACTACTAGGTTTGTGTTTTATATTATTTTTGGGGAGGGAGCATATTATTTCTGCTCCAAGACTTCAGTATCTATAGTTGCTTTTGTAAATATGTAGGCTTTACTGGATAACAAAACGAGCTGGTGAGAAGCAAGGTAGTGGACTGATGAAAGCAAATGCATGGCATCATCGTGCAGATGCAATTTCATCAGTAGTTGCTCTCATTGGAGTTGGTAAGGAACTTGGCTCTTTGAAAATGTTACTCAGCTCAGTTATTTGGTATAATGTGCTATGATACTGGCTTCTAGTACAAGTTATGTCACCAGTCAAGTTTACTTGCTTACAATGCATCCATAGGTGTTTTGTTGGATTAATATTAATGATCAATTGTAAATCACGTATGCTATTAAAATAAATTGCTTTAAGTTTTTTATGGACTTCTTTCTAAAAGAAAAAGTGGTTATTTGTATATCTAACGTTAATGGTATAATTGATATTTGACATTTTTTTATGTGTTGAGATTTATGAAATCATGCACTGCTTTTGTTCATTTATTTATTGGTACCCTACCAGTGGATTTTCTGATATTTTTATTTTTATTGTTATTATTGTTACCTAAATTGACATAACTAAAAGAATGGTCACCCATCTTCCCGTGGCTCTGAGCTCAACTTTTTTTATTTAGGCACCTAAAAGGGGAAAACCCTGGTGAACAACGCTCCTCGACTTGTGAGGGTAGGGGTGAGGGACGAATGTACGCTGTCTTACGGTCTTACCCTTACATTTTTGTAAAGAGATTGTCTCTCTGATTTGAACCCATGACCTTCTAGTCTCAAGGAGCAACCTTACCGTTGCTCCAAGGCTCGCCCTCTTATTTAGTCAACTCATTTGATTTAATTGAAGTGATCAGATGCTGCAGTTTTGTTTAACGTTATAGCATATTAAAACAACATATAACAAGTACTGTGTTTACTGTCTACAATCCATCATTGATGTTTCTATTATTTAATTGCTCATTTTGAGTCTTTTTTGTCTACAATACATTATCATAGTATCTTCATCATTGACAACTATCTGATATTGCATCACATTTTACCATCCAATGTCTTATTGGGCTTTTTTTTTTGTTTTTGTTTTTGTTTGAGTAGAATGCATTTTTAGTCCTTAAAAGATATCCATTATCAATTTAGTCCTTTAAGAATTTATTTTATAAATTTGATCTCTCAAACTTCAAATCCCCTATAATTTAGTTCCTCGATCCATTTGAGTTTAACAATGTTAACATAAAATGCTGACATGTTACAGAAATGCTCGCATGGCTTCATAATACTTGAATATTGAGGGATAATATTCAAATATTTAAGTGAAAACTTCAAAATCTGTTAACGGTGTTAGATTGAAATGGATGGAGGGACTAAATTATTAGGGATTTGAAATTTTAGAGATCAAATTGATTAAAATTAATTCCTATGCAAATAAATTGATAATGGATGTTCTTTTAAGGGACTAAAAACGGGTTTACTCTTTTTTTTAGTCTTTTGTAAAGACTGCAGACTGTAAGATGCTATGCCTTTACATAAGTATACTCTGCATTGCACAGGATTTGTTTCAGGATACTTGATCCATTCATGTTTTGCATTTTTTCCATACATTCACAGATTCACTAACCATAGATTTTTATCTCCATGTTAGGAGGGTCTATTCTTGGAATGAAGTTTCTTGATCCACTTGCTGGACTTTTAGTCTCAGGCATGATTTTCAAAGCTGGAGCTGAAAGTGGTTACCAAAGGTACCTTATTCATTGTTTTCTGTTCCTCCTCAATTTATCACTGCTGGCAAGTTTAACTGGTTGTTTTATACGTTACTGAAACTGTTTTCTTTACCCTGGTACGTGTATCCATGTCAAACCCATTTTTGAACCGAAGTTAAACATATGGACACTTGGTGTAACCCTCATTCAAGGATAGAACAAAATATTTAACAAACCTATTGTGGACATAGATGTGTACTGGATACCTTTAAATTATATTATATTTATCTTGGAATTGAAAGGTTACATACATCAATATATTGAATATGGCATCTAAATGTAGTAAGTCTACTTGTTTTTCCTTATTGACGTGGAAAACATTCTCGTTTGATGAAAGCTTTGTCATTTTGGCCTGATCCCTTAATAACACACACATGACATGTGTAAATTGATGGGTTGTTTCTTTACTACTCACTGATGAGCCCAATTAAATATGATGCCTAATGTAATTATTTGATAATTTCAGACGTAGAGTTTACTACCTCTTTCTCAATGCTTAATAAAAATTGCAACTTGGGAAATTATTAGGATAATAGAGAATACAAATGGTTGAAAAGTAACCTAAAACGTCTAACCACTGGGGTTAAACTAATTCTGCCTAAAGCAAGGGGGATGGGAAAAAGTTTCTCCAGGCAATTTTGACCACGTCTAAACTTCTAGCACTAATTAGCTTGTTGCTTTTGATCAATCATCAGTATCTTGGAATTGGTGGATGCAGCAATTCCAGCACAACATTTGGATCCTATTAAACAAACAATTTTGCAAGTTGATGGCGTCAAGGTATTTTTTTGTGTGGCAATATTCTTTTTTAAATATAATTTTGGTATCCTTGGACTTTGCATATAGTTTCTTTTCTAATGCCATCCTATTACTTGAATAAATGTATCAATTTCTGCTTCAATTTTTCCCATGCACTTTAACCAGGTTTTCATTAATGCTGTTTTGCTTATGAACATATGTACTTAGATGATATTCTTTTCAGTTCAATGTTTGAAATGTTTTTTGAACTTTTATACAGGGTTGCCATCGCTTAAGGGGTAGGAGAGCTGGTTCATATCTGTATCTTGATGTAAATATTGAGGTTGGTTTTCCTGAAATTTATATCGTTCGTGTCACATGCACTATGTATCACGAGGATTTACTTGTTAGTTTTACCTTGCAGGTTAATCCTTTTTCTAGTGTTAGTGCTGCACATGACATTGGTGAAAATGTTAGACATCAAATTCACAAGTCTCATCCTACTGTGGCTGAAATTTTCATACACATAGGTCTGTTTTGTAGTTTTACAAATTTCTTACATTGGCCAAGGCAGAATCTTAGTTATTTGATATCACAGTTTTTTTTATATTGATATTATCAACATAATTTGCTTTGTACTTTTTTCGTTCAGCACATTTCTCCTTTATGTCCACATTCAGGTCCAAATAATGTGCTCACTTCTTAGTATCATATGTGTACATAGATTAATATACAGATATATTACTTTTGTATCTGCATGAGTAATACTAAGAACTCCACCACAGTATTAAATTGCGTAAGAGTTGTAGTTGTTTTGGTTTTACTACTACTATTCACTTTGCTGGCAGGTTAGTTTTGTTGCCTATTGAACATTAAATACAAGTTTTGAATGATGCAATTAAAAGCTGATATATGATGGACATTCCTGACAACTTCTGTGTTCTACTACATAACTGAGTCATCTGAAATTTATTCTGTCCGTACCAATAACCTTTATCATAATCACTGTTGAAATATTGCTTATGTAGAGTTAATGCTTAAGCTTGTTATGAGTGTCAAAAAGCAGAGTTAAATCTGTTTCCATCTAGGTCCGTCTCTGTCTCTATCTTTTTTCACAGACTATAGGTCTGTGCATTGCAAGATTGTGCCTTTTTTTAATAATCATGCTGCCTTTAGCTTCAAGTTGCAGCCTTATGACATCTATAATTCACTTATTGCCAATGATCATATTGTAATGAGGTTTTCTGAAACCTAAATCACTTTTTGTAGTGGATGTCATATGTTATACTATCTTGTATCTTTTATTCTAAATTTTTCCTATTCTTAATTCTCTTATAGATCCTGCAATGGCTCATGTTTCTCCCTGCACAACAAATGAGCAAGATAGTTGGGATGGAGACATGGACCAGAACAGTATTGTTCCTGCTGGGGATAGTAACGTTGAAGGAATTGTTTCTGATATCATCTCATCAAACTTTCCACAGGTAAATATCTTTATGTAAAAACCAGAAGACAGTCAAAATAAACATCAGTTTGGAATTTGATGTGGATGGATAGGTGGACTGCTGGCACATGACATAATTAGTTTGAATAAAATCAATTAGATTATATTTTTTAAATTTTTGTCTTTGGGGATTCTTTGGTTTTATTGGTTAGAACTTAGAAGTCAATGAATTATTTTGCGATTATACAAGTTCTCTTAGCCGTAAAATTTGGGAATTAAATGGTTGCTACTCTCTTACTGGTATCAGTGTCACGTCTGAGTTTTTCTGTTCCAATATTAATTGAAGGTGGCTGAAAGCTAGAGGATCAGGATTCCATTGTCAATGGAATTTGAGTTGATTTTTGAAGTTAGGTTAGAATAACTTGTATTTTCAATGTTTAATTGTCTGAAGCTGGTTTTCAGATATCAGTTGAGCACATAACACGCCACATGTTTCAAGGCAAGATTGTTCTTCAAATTGAGGTTTCCATGCCATCTGATATCCTAATTCGGTAAATTTTATTATCTAACCTTATTGAGTTTGATTTTGGATTTGGGTGAGTCTCTCATGGCAACATATGCTTATTCACGCACAGAGATGCAATTGAAATGGCAAAGCAAGCAGAAAAAGAGGTTTTGAAGGCTATATCAAATATAAGTCATGTTGGCATTCAGCTACGTCTGGGGCAACTATTTCCACAGATGAGTCATACATAGAACCATCCAAGAAGTTGGAAAGCAGATTTTTTGCAACTCCATGCATCCTCTGAGTATGACTGTAGTTAAATTGATTAATAACAATATTGCAGAGACTCATACCTAGTCTGATACAATTATATAGCCAATGGCTTTGAGGGTTCAACCGTGGCGGAAGGTTAAGGAGACCAGTTTTAAAACTTAATAATTAATTTGAGCCCATTGGAGGGGTTTTTTTTTTTTTTTTTTTAAATTTAAAATGAAAATAATTTACTTTACCAGACTGCTGAAAACACTGCTGAGTTCCCTCGGAACCTGTAAAATTAGTGAATATGGTTTAAGTAATGAACTCGCTGGAATTAACGGGTTTTTAACTGCAGATTTATGTCTTTGTTGGCACCTTGTAAGTTCAATGTTTCATCAAACCTAAAACATATTTCCCCTGCTGCATTGATTAGCGTTAGATGTTTTTGCTTACCCGCTCTACCCCAATGTTAGCATTAAAATTTTTTGCTACCTAACATGTGAATTAAGTAACTTAATCTATGTTTACCAAAAAAAAAAGGTAACTTAATCTATTCTATGATATTTTTGTAGTTGGTTAAAAGCATACTTGGAAAGAAATTATTTTGAAAAAAATATCTTTTTTTTTTTAAATAAAAAGTTTTGGTATATGTTATATTTATTATCATTTTTTCTTATTACCTTTTGTTATCAATTTTATTATCGTTTGATTAAAATCAAATATTATAAAATAACATCAAGTGAAAATCATTAATTTGATTTTAATCCAATGATAAGAGGATTTATAATAAGAAGTAAGGGAAAAAAAAAACATGGGAAGTATGACCTTCCCAAAAGTTTTTATAATTATTTTTATTGCAAAATAAGTTAATCCAAATACGTTATATGTACTTGATAGCATTGGAACATTGCTTTTTATGAGATATGCATAATGTGAAAAATATTGTCTTTCAAATAATGAGATGGCTTAAAAATTAGGGAAAACCTAAGAAACATGTCATTCACATTTCATTTAACCAAAATGATTTAGTCAATTAGTCACATTATTCATTGTAAATTTAATTACTTAATCATTTAGTTTAACTAAGTACAAATAATAATGTAATTAATTATTTTATCAGTTTTAATCACTATTTTATATCACTTTGTTTAGACTTTAGGCTTTAGGAATAACTCAGAATCCTCCTTTGTCAAACGAGGAGTAGGTAATAACTCATAAATAAGTCTTCTGAACTGATTCAACTATTAGTGCTTGATTTTTAAGATTTAGGTTTTAATTCTAAAAAAATAAATGCTGGTGCCTGGTAGAGTACTACAATAACATACTTCAGTCATTCGAGTTTAACCGTAGGTCAAAATTTAATAAATTAAAATAGCTTTTGAACTGAATTCGCTGTTTTAAAATAATATCTTCCATTCGCAATATTTTTTTATTTTGTTTGTTTGTTTGTTTACAAATCGAGTAAATTGTTCAATTTTTAATTTTTTTTATAGCTTATATAAAATTCGTAAGAGTATCTTCTTATGGCCGAACCAATGCAAACTTTACTAAATAAAAACCGGAAATTAAACTGTAACAAAGAAATTGAAAAAAATATTAAAATATCATACAGCGTGTTAAAAAACCATTTTTAAAAAAATATTAATAACGTTATCGAATAACTTAAAATTCGTTGCAAAATTATTATTAAAAAAACCTGATAAACAGAGAGAGAAATATAAAATCAAGTAATTCCTGTGAGAAATAAATAATGGATATATGAGAGATGAGAGCCATTGATCAGATAATTGTAGTCTGAATATATTAAGTCGACATTTAAAAAATTCAGAATAGGATATCATCACTTCAATGGCATTTTATTCATTCAATTCGCTCATCCATCGTAACAGACACAACCGATAATTAAAAAAGAAAAAACAAAAGAAGAAAAAAAGAAAGAGTTGAAGGCTCAGAAGGATCCATTGGTAGTTTTGTAATCATAAGGGAGAATTCTCTACTCCCTCATAAAATAGGTAGTTCTTACCATCATTGCCTCCAAAAACACTAACACAAATTTGATAGACAAAAAAGTTGTAAAAAAATGAACATCGAGAAAACGAAGAAAAAAAACGAAGGTGAAGTTTACACAAAATTATATTCTGAAGTTAAAATGGTGGATTCTGTTGTATAAATAGAAAGAAGCGATCTACTTAGGGTTAGGGTTAGGGACTTCGGGTTTTCGGCCTGTTGCTGAACTGTCCTTCGGGCTTCGTACACATGGGCCTTTCTTCAACATGCTGATCTGGGCCTCCTTTTTATAACTTAGACCCATCAAACATTATGCTGCATTTTTTACTTTTCAAGGATTATGGATTACATCAATGATAGGACTGGTCGGGTTTTGAAGAAAAATAAATAAATATATTCGAGCCAATTAACTATTCTTAGGTTTAGTTGGAATTATGTTCCACCGACACCAACATAGAATACGGGATATAATAACCTTCACTAGTAATTGTGGATTTAATATTGAAGAATGATTAGAAATAAAAGAAATAAAGTCTCCTTTGGTGAAAAATGAGTTAAAATGACAGTTAAGGGGTAAAAATGCGGGGGTAAAAATGCGGGTAAACAAAGTTACCCAAAAAGTGAAAGTAAAGTTAGAAATATAAATAGAAAAATATTATAGTCCATTGGGTAAAGTTTGGTAATAAATGGAGGTGTGTAGATAGATAAGCTTATAGCCAGTTAAAGTAACTTAACATTTTATAAAGTGTGACTCCTTATTTCTTCCAATTCCTGCGCGCGCCTTTGTCTCCTTCTTCTTCATTGTTTGTGAATAGTAAGCTCCAAAGGAAAAGCTTGATTCATCCAATTTTAGCCACCTAAACCCTTCATGCCTTACATGAAAATTTATGTAAACAACTCAAGGAATCCATTGGTGTTAGTATTTTGGAGTGGGGTTCACTATAGAGAGAGAGATTTCTCCTCCTCTTTCATACGGGTACTGTTCATTGTCCAAAAAAATAAGGTTTTTGGATGATCCAATGCTTGGAGGTTGATCCTTTGGTTGCCTAAGAGTGGTTTAAGGTAAGAAACTCTATTAGTATTGGTTGAATATTTGATTTCTAAGTCTAGGGTTCATGAACATATTTGTGAAAAATGTGAAATTTGAAATTTGAATTAGTCATGGATTATTGATGTTTAGATATGATAATGTGAGATGAATATGTACATGTATGGAAATTTGAAAAAAAAAGAAAAAAAGAAAGAAAAGAAATCCTCTTGAATCTCTCCTTAGGTTTCGGCCATGATGCTCCAAAGGGGGTGTGATGTGCAAAAATGTAATGGTACATTTAGTGAAGGAATATATGTATGTATGTATAAGAGAATGTAGGAGTTCTATGGTTAAAGAATTCCTAGGTTGTGAAAATGCCACTTTGAGGCTTATGTGCTTAAATTGTGGAACCTTGAAAAATCATGAATATGTTAATGAATCTTGGATTAGAGGTGTGTGATAAGCTTGAATTTGATGGACTAAAGTATTGGAATCATGAAGTTGACATGATTTCCTTTATGTGACTCTTAGCCATTTACAAAGGAAGTATGTTTTTAGAGTGCTTGTTTGTGCTAATGAGCACTTATACGGTCTAAGGACTATATGATTAGATGTTTAAATCTTTGGTTGGGTTAGATAAAAAACAAAATGAATAAGTTCATTATTTGGGCCTTATATGTGTTTATGGGCATTTTCAAAGCAAGTATCTGCTAGGAGTTACTGTTTTACAAAGCGAGCATACTTTTATGCGTGGAATAATATTCTAAAGTGTATGGACTTTCGCTTTGGTGAAATAAAAAAGAAAATAAGGTAGTTCCTTTGTATAGCCTTAAAATGAGTTTCAACCATTTTCAAAGGAGGTATATGTTCGGAGATATTGTTTCGCAAAGTGAGAACATTTATATGCGTAAAATAATTTATATAGGTGGCTAAGCTTGGGTTTAGGCACTAGACAAAGAAAAATCTTATAGCTCCTTTGTAATGGGCATTCTGCCTTAAATTAGGAAAAATAGGCTTTTAGGTGCTAAGAGGAGTAATGAGTGTTCTAAAGGCCTTTTGAGACTATCCTAAGACTAAGTGAATATGTGAAATTTTGTGGGATTTGTTGAACAAAGAACCACCCACTCATGGCTTAACATGATTAAGTAAAAAGAAAATAAACAATGAAGTGTGTGTCTTGTATATTTACATGGCAATATATTATTCTATTGAGTTTTGTGTTGAATTCCTTCTCTAGGTGTGCCTAGGGACTATGAACGTGTGGACTCTCGGGGAGCAAGATAAGTAGCTTGTGCTACAAGTAAGCAAATTGGTAAAGCTTCAAAAGATAAGCTCTATGTTTATGGGGTTCGCTCCTACTTTGTGTTCCGCCATAGTGTACGGATTGTGGTCAGGTGGTATGATATGTATGAGATATATGATATAGATGCATTCATATAGAGCTATATGATGATGTGATATGATATATTTTGATGTGTTTACTCTGATATGATTTGATGTGTTTACTTTAATATGATTTGATGTATTTACTTTGATATGTTTTGATGTGATTTCTGTAATGACCTCTGGCTATTGATTTGTTTATGCACTGATGTCCGCTTGGGGTCCTCCCTTGGGAATGACTGTGTATATATATGTTATATGTTGAGTTCCACTTGGGGTCTTCCTTTGGAAACATGTGCACTGATTTTTGCTTGGGGTCCTCCCTTGGGATTGATTGTGTACACCTCTGTTATATGATTATCTTTGGCCATTGATCCTATGTGCACTGATGTCTGCTTGGGGTTATCCCTCGGGACTGACTGTGTACATATCTGATATGTTTTTGGTTCCGCTTGGGGTACTCCCTTGGGAACACTTACGTTGACTTCCGCTTGGGGTCATCCCTTAGGAATGACTACGTACGTCTTTGATATGATATGTTTTGTCCGAAGTGATTATGGTAATGTTTTAGTTATGATATTTGTTACGTGCGTTGATTTTCGCTTGGGATCCTCCGTTGGGAGATACTGCGTGCATCTTTGATAAGATATGTGTATATGCTTGTTCAGTTATGATAATTGCTTATATGATATTTTGTATATTATGTATCTAACTGTCATGTAGGAAGTGAGCCAAGGTATGGAGAGTTTTCCATAAACCTGGAGTTTACTAGAGATTCGTCTCTAACCCCGTTTGGGGATATGATTTCAGGAACACAGTTAATTGAAGAGCCCTCACGGGACAAGGACACTACCCGTGGCTAGAGGTACTAGTATGAGGATATGGAGTTCTGGGTAGCCGGAGGCTACTATTTATTTTAGAAGTATTTTTGGAGAATATATATTGTTGTATAGTGTTTTATTCATTTTGTGATCATGATGTTTAATCCATTATACAATATATGGTCCGTATATGTTTTGTACATGTGTTCATATTTGATGCATGTACATTTGTATATTCAGATATGTGCATGTGCTGAAATATGTATGCTGTTAGACATAGTGGCACAGAGACAAGTTATGCATGCGCCCATGGATGGGTATATTGTCCTGTATAGATATCTGGTATTTCTGAAATCATATATGGTATAAACTGTTTACCAGGAACCCTTGAGAGTGGGATTGGAAAATCCCACTTGTCCAATTTACAGAGGTTGCTCTGCCCGATTTTCGTCTTTGTCAAATAAGAACTAAATAAGGAGAAGTATGCAATGTGAGATATCATGTGAAAAAAGATTAAAGTAAAAGAAAAAGTTAGCTCGCATTTTCGTAAGTTAAGTCTTCCGCTGTTTCTGTTTGTATCATATGTATGTTAATTGAACCGGCTCGAGATGGGGATGTTACACGGGACACGATACGATACAATATTTTAACATGTTAATTCTAAAAAATATTATATTTCGATACATTAGGATACGTTTTGATATTAAATAATATTTTTAATTTATGTAGTGCATATTATATTTAATATTCCATAGTTTAAAAAAAATGAATCTAAACTTATAGGAAAATAATTTTATTATATTGTAGGAAAATAATTATCTCATGTAGTAGAAATAAAATTATAAGTGAGATCCACAGATGAGAAGAGAGAAAAAATAAGAGTGCGACCCACCCTGCTTTTGTATATGTAGGAAATTTAATTTTTTTATGTAACATAAGAGAAATATAACCCAAACTCATAATACCCATCAATTTTACAAAAAAAAATATAAGATATCAAAATATTTATATTAAACTCAATAAAATAAAAATTCTAATCCAATGAATATAAATATGTGCATCATAGAGTTGGATTAAAGACTTTGAATTATGGTTTGCTTGGTTCCAATTAGTTGAATTTGTGGTTGAACTTAGGGGTGTAAATGGGCTGGGCTGGGCTTTGGCCATCCTGGCCCAAGCCTACGTCAAAAAAAATTCAGCCTATCTGGCCTACTGGCCTATTAAAGGCTTTATTTGTAGGCCAAGCTCGGCCCATTTTCAAAAATAAGAAAGCCCGACATGGCCTACAGGCCTTGTAGGCCTCCCACTATATATACTAAGCAAAAAAAATAATTGTATAGAGCAAAGAAAGCTCCATTCATGCATGCACTAATACAAGGCATCATCTAGCGTGAACAAAAAGCTGAGATTGAAGGAGAATGCGACACCTCAGCTAATTTTCGAAAGTCTTTTTTACTCATAAGAAAAAAATGACAAACAAGAAAGAGTCAACATACTACCTCAGCTCTAGAATGTATATCATAGAGGAATAGAGTCAAAGAAATGGGAAAAATATGAAAAATACAATTACTGGATGCTGAAATAAAGTCTACAAGAGAATGTCATTCATTTAAAAATCTTTAAATCACCATCAAGACAAGGGAAAGAAGAGTATTATTGAAAGATTTTCATCAGCAACATCATAATCCAGCAAGGTACCCATTGCTCTATGGTATTAAGCTGCAACAGCATGTAAAATTTGGAGACATTAGACAAGTTTTCCTTTCATAGAATAAAATAGCACAAAAAGTAAGAGATATTAGTATTTGGTACTTTGTGTCTTTGCCACATAAAATAAATATTATTTTATTTTAATAAATTAAATAGGCCAGCCTACAAGGCTGTAGGCCGGACTTGACAAAATTGGCCTATGGCCTATTTATTAAAAAAGCTTTTTTATAAGCCTAAGCCTACTCTATTTTTCTGAAAGGCCGGGCCTGAGCTGGGCTCAATGTAGGCCGGGCCGAAGGCTGGGCTGGGCCAGCCTGGCCCATTTACACCCTACTTGAACTAATGTTAAATTGTGGCTCAGTTCAATGTAATAATGTTTGAAGTTTAAAACATTCTTTCACGTTAAAATCAATCCACACTCTGTTTGGTGTACAATTACAGACAATATGCTTAAAAGTTTCACAAACTCATTTAAACAGAACATTTTTTTTCTTTTTCAGTCTAAACTGAACATTCTCTAGTGTCCCAAATGGGTTTCTCCATAGCTCAATCTCCATGTGGAAGGTGGTTGTGAAAGTGATTCATGACTTGCAAACTCTGGTGGGTGAATGCTTCTAACTCCAATCTTTGTTGTTGTTGTTTCTGGGGTTCAAGCAAATTTGGTGCCCTTGAAGTTGAAGCCCCAACCCCCAAGAAGTCATGAACCTTGGAGCTAGTACCAAACTCTTGTTCCACATTCTTCATCAATCCTATGTTGCTGTCACTTCCCGTGAACATTGGACTGAACATTCCCATATCATTCATTGTTGAAACGGTAGTGTTAGAATCAAACATTAGTGATATGTCTTGTTGTCCTTTCTGAAATAATTGGTTATTGGTGAAGGCTCCAACACCACTAACCCCAGCCATGTGAGATTGGTCAGGGTGTGGATTAAAGTGGTCATAGGAAGAAGAATTAAGCTGTTGTATAGCAACAGAATATGGTGGTCTAGGGGAAGAGACATGGTTAGGAGAAGCAATGCTATTAACAAAGCTTTTATGCATCATGGGAGAGTTAATGCTATTGCTTGCAGTGGCACCCATTTGTGCTGCTTTCTGTAATAAAGCTGTTGCTGACATGTGAGCTGAGCCAGAAATTAGGCCACCGTTTTTGCTGTCTTGGAAGTAATTGAAACCAATGGAGTTGTTGGAACTGAGTTGAAGGTTGGAAGAAGATGGAGACATGTTTTTTGGACCACCAAAAAGTGTGCCTGAAGTGGTAGAGAACATGCCCCCACCCATGCTTATGGACTTGAATGGACTTGGGACAAGTTCTTGGGTGAGGTTTCTGAGTGTGTTCTTTGGGTCGTAGTTGCTGAATTCTGATACAGTGTTGGAACTTGTGCTTAGAGGCATTGTTGACATAACATCCGGCATTTCATTTTGTAGCAAGTTTGGTGTCATGCCACTCGTTAATCCCTGGTTCACTCGGTTGTTTACTTCAGTTAATGCGTCACAAAATGCTCTGTGTGTGATGAAACTATCTCTCCTGCACCATTCAGATAAATGTGTTGTGACCTTAAATTTAATAGCTCTTGTACTCGCAATTATAGCTCCACCTAAATTTTAACACCAAAAAGTGGATCCCCCTCAACTCAAATGTTGTCATGTCAGCAATTATTCTCTATTGTTTAAAATTTCACCGTAAAAAATTGTTTATCTTTTTTAAATTTTAATAGGAGAGTACTTATTTAATGTTCATATTACAATATCATGAAATTTTAACACAAGAAAATTCATTCCATTGTTGTAATATATATTTTGTAGAATTGCAAATGTAACAGCATGATGTTCCTCGAAGTTCAACTTTTATTAAGAGCTATATAAAGAAGCGAGGTTTATAGGAAATTAAGAATGAAACCACACCACATGAATAGTGTTATGGAATATTTCCATATCCTAACCACCTATCCAAGGATCTTTTAAAGGATAACTACCTAATTATCCTAACAATATAAAACAGTAAGACTGCTAAGGATAGAGTCCCTTTCCCAACAGAAAGGAAGTTAAATCCTACTATAACTGAGAGATCTACACAAGCCCAAGAGGTAACCCTTATAAATAAGAGGTTAAAAACCCCATGTACATACTCTGAACTCATTTACTACTTCTGCCCACACTGTGCACACACCCACGTCTCGGCTATAAGCCTATTGCTTGTGCGCAGTGATGGGGATATTGGCTATAAGCCAACCAAGATACCTATCCATAAGATATCTTTGAGCGCATACCTTGAGGTATCATTATACGGTTCAATACAACCGAACAAATAGTATATGGAAATAATTAGTAAACGTTAGTATATATAATTTTTATGAGCACAAACTGCTATGAAGCATATTCTAATTAAAAATACGGGACGTGATTAAATTTCTTCCGGTTTCTCTGCAACAAGCAATGTCAATATATATATATATATATATATATATATATATATATATATATGAGGCATGATCCTTTGACACCGGTGTCAAAGGAAAAGTTTGACACCTCATCTGAGAACCGTTAGATTAAAAAAAATCAATGGTGTCACATGCTTACAAATCAGAATCGTTGATTTTTTTTAATCTAACAGCTCTCAGATGAGGTGTCAAACTTTTTTTTTGATACCGGTGTCAAAGGATCCTGTCTTTTATATATATATATATATATATATATATATATATATGAACCAAATAAATGAGCATAATTAATATCCAACTCTCTGAAACTGAGCCCTCATGCAATTGACTTTTGACCCCAAATCATGCAAACGTTTGTAATTAAACTTACATCAGGTTGATTTTTTTTAAAATTTTACCTTGAAAATATGGTTCCACAATCACATTTGTATTCCCTGGTACCACAGGTTTTCTGGTGGGCCTTCCAATCAGATTGGACTGCATATCTTTTAGAGCACTTGTCACATTTCCACTTCTTCTCACCATGTTTTCTGCTGTAATGTTTTTTAATCCCAGTGAGGTCTCCTAATGCACGAGCTGGGTTATGATGCACGCATGATGGCTCAGGACACACATAGACCCGTTTCACCACCTCAGTGGTTGCTCTTTGCTTCAGTTTCCATGGAAGATTGTGACCTCTACGGTGCAACTGAAGGTTTTGGTCCCTCTGAAACCCTTTGTTGCAGATCTCACACACGAATCTATTTGTTGCCATTAATGTGGTTGGTGATAAAGCAATAACTTCAGCATTCGGATCTGTTACATAAAATTCATCCATTAACTGGACTTTGCCAAAAAAAATATATTAATAATGATTATGTATTAATTATTATATATTTTACTATCTATAGGATTAATCCAGCTTTTTGAAAATAAGGGAAAAGACTCAGCAGATTAACCATTATGGAAGAGTAAGAGGATGCATATAATTCGAATGATCAGGAAATTTACTGTTATTATTTCATGTTGCTTTCTTTGTAACTTGTATAGGTCCCAACAGTTATAGAAACAAAGTCAGTAATAGTAAGTTTGATAAAGCAACAGTTGTTCACTATTTTAATATTATCACTAATTGAAACAGCTACCAAACTTTCTACCGAACTATAATTCAAACCTTTTAGCTTGCAAAAGAACTACCTAGAGTTTGACCAAGGTCTAGCTAGTATATACACACCATTATCATTTGAAAGCAAAATTGAACTAACTTGGAAAAAGCACTTGGACACTTCTTTAGTTTCTAGTTTCCTTAATTAATCACACCATCAGTTATTGAAACTGAATATATATAAAACATAATTAAAATCCCAACTTTTTGGGCTTTAATTATGTTTTATAGAGGAAAAACTGAAGCTCATGGATGGGATATTTGCCTGGGGTTCCTGGAAGGTTTCTTTTCTTCTTTGTTCCCTGTTGTTGTTGTTGATTAGTGGAGTTAGTGCTGTTGCAAGCACCAGAAGGTCCTGAACTTGAGCCATGTGGTAGATTTTGTAGTTGTTGCTGCTCGTTTTCTTCATAAACTTCTTCCCCAGTGTTTGCTGAGGAGAAACTTCCTTCATCACCTGAAATATTTGACATTTGAAATAAAAAAGACTGTAAAAAAGTTAATAGAAGCTTCTCTGTGTCTTTCTTTTCTTCTTGTTGGTGATGGACCTCACTAAAATCCGGGGCTTGGTTTGGTAAACTCTGAGCAAAGAAACTTCTCTTGCACTAAAGAAAGACAAAAACCGAGGGAGTTTTTCTTGGTTTCTGTTGAGGAATTAGAAAGCTATTGTTGCTATGATAGTAACATTGGGAGCTGTTCTTCTTTGGCCTTATATATAAATATATATAATACCCATATGAAGACAACTACTAGGCGATTGCACCTAGCTTCTTGGTATAATGGTAATATCCTAAGCAACAATCAATTTCTCTTTTCTACATTTCTCTCTGCTTCTACCTGTAATTCTTAGTTTCTTAGATCAAGTAATTTTACACCTGAAATACTATTTACTTTAGTTATACCAACAAGTTAATTATTTGATTAATATGTCTAATGTGTTTTTTTTTTAACAAAAAAAAAATGACATTAACTAATAATTAACTCATCTGTGTACGTAACCAAGTATAAATAAGGTGTATGATTTAAAGTTTGTAGAAATATCATAATTGTTCTTACATATATGCACTTACTGTACGAGCCATTTTTATTCTAAATGTGTGACTGATGACTGAGTACTATTTGTGCCTTGAAACACAGCTTCAGCATAAGATATTATTTTCCTACTCCAAATATTTAGTGCTGTTTTCTTCAAACAAATTATGCTACTTTGAACAGATAGTATTTGGTTTCTTTTTAAAGAAAATTAAATTTCAGATTCCTGGCATAATGGACTTTTAAATAATTTCTGAACTTTAGGGGAAAATTAAAAATACCTTGTACCGAAAATTAAAAATTTAGAAAAATTAATTCAGTTTTTTAAGAATCCTACAAAATACCTTGTATCAAATGTTCCCTTAGTTAATTTCTGAACGTAAACTGAAAACCAAAGGTAGGCGCGCAGGTATATAAATTAAATAATTGTGTTGGACAGTTTATTAAATCTGTAATTTGTGCACTCAATTCTTTTTAAAAAGTCAATTAACATATAATAAAAGAAAGAATAAAGAAAAAAAAATTCTATTCTTCGGTGTAATTTACCGGGTATAGAGGTCAGACTTTAATTTCTTGCATTTTCGGAAATGCTTAACTACTCTTTTTCCCCCTTTTATGAGGTACATAAATAAACTATCAATTCTTAGCTTTGAGAATTGTGTCAGGATGTTTATTTTATTTTCATTTTTCCCTTTTCCTTTTCCTTTCAAATTAAAACAGATCCTTAATTTGGTCACTAGCTTTCACATCTTTTGTACATCACAATACCATACATATATACCATTGTGTTGGAGCTTCCTAAAATATGGTTAACTGCAGCCTACATGTTAAGAGTTAATTAATGTTAAAGATTTATTTGTATAAAATTAAGAGAAAGTGACTTGTCATAGCCGACTCTTTGCGTCTCATTTGATCCAAACATCGAAGAAAACAAGCCAAATAAATATCTTCATACAAAAAACGGATAAAGTAGAGGGTTGCTACCGAGTTAACCTAGATCATGTTTACTTTTATGGCCACAGCGAAATTTACTAAGAGCATCCTATGACCTCCTTAATATTCCATAGTTTCAATGTGATGGGTACATGGAAAACTGGTAGAAAGGCATAATATGAGCTTCTTTTTTTCTAACTTTTAAATGCGTATGCACACACAGACTAGACTATGCATATATATCCAAATATTAGAAGAGTTGTGATAACTACTAGAACTCACAGATTATAAAGGGTTAGTACACTATGGGCTTTAATTAAAATTAAAAATTATTAATGATCTTCTCGAGAGCTAAATGTTTTTTTTTTCTATTTTTTTCTTTTCTAAACCTTGTTGGAAACTGACAAAAGTTACCATGTTAATTACGCGATTAAAGAGAGAATATTAAGATTGCGTGGAAAGTCTCAAGTCAATTCGTTCACATTTTTGTTGCGGGGTTTCACAGATTTTTTTTTTTGAAGTTAATAAAGGGGTTATTGAGAATTGATGGAAGAAGTCGTAATCGATCCCATAGAAAAGTTATCTTATGTCCTTTGTTTATGTTTAGTTTTGCTGCTAACATAAACTTAATGTAATGTAAAAATAAATAAATAAATGAACTAGGAGACATCAACTAGAATGTCAAACATGAGCTAAGCTTCAATTTATCATTTTTCCATCTCAAACTAGTAATAAAATCGACGAAAAGGACCTCGTAGAATTTATCGATACAGACATCGATATATTTGATGAAGCATGCATACTTACATCAATGTAAGGACAGAAGCTTGCCAACTCTTTATCAGTTATATCCCACATATTTCTTTATTAAATTAATCTAAACCCTACTCACATTATGACATTCCACAGAATTTTGGTTTTCTAATTATTAATTGATCTGATTGCTAATTGACACAGACAAAGGAGCTCTATAGATGAAACCAACGCAGGGGACAACCATGGATTATTCTTTCCCATGAGCATATCTTACGGTTCTTCGACTAGTTGTGTTTTGTTTTATCCAAGGACAAGATTAATATATATATATATATATATATATATATATATATTGATATGAAAATGTTTCGACTAGGTGAATAATGTACTTGAAAGAAAAAAATTATTTGGTCGCTTATCAAGCCTGCATGGAGTTTTCCGAGTTGAAAAAATTAATAACGATTATTTTCATTCATAAACCAATATGTGTCGGTGTAGCAACAATTTAAGATCTCCAGGGAAGAATAGGTAGACGAGGAGAAGAAATGGAACGTGAGGAGAGAGAGAGAAGGTGAATCAACTTCTGCTTACTATTACCCTAAATCAAAGTCATCATATAGTGCCCTATTACTAATGGGCCACCAATCCAAAATAAGACTACCGTAACTCAAAAGTTATAAAATGACATAATAAAGCTGATAGTTACTAGAACCCCATATCCTCAACTAGTCTCATAGTCTTCTAAATAGGTGGGTTGCTTGCGGGCCCGTTTAGCCTTCTCCTCTAAAGCTTGAATTGGGCTTACCTCCAAACATGCATCCGTTACAATCCCCTGTTCTTTAAAATTATCCTCGTCCTCGAGGATGTGAGCTGCTTGCGGTTCAATAGGAAGCGAGTGATGGTGAAGCGGTCCAATGATATTGTGGGAACGGATGGGTAAGTCATTTAAAGTGGTGATGGGATGTATCTGGCACGGCTGTGGTGGGGACACGCAAAAGTTGTCTTGGGAAGAAGGATTAGGCAGAGGGGCATTTATTGGGGGATTGGTAGCTGAGGGGGTGGTGAGAGCGTTGGGTTTAATCAGGCTTTGGTCTGCAGTTTGGATGTGTGTCTGTATAGTCTGTGGTGCTAGAGAGGGAGTAGGATTCTGAAGTGTGATGAAATCCCTCACCATACCCGAAACTTCCTTCAAGCCACTTGAGTCATTGTTTTCCAAGTGTGCTGGGTTAGCTTGAGTGCCTGCTGTAAAAATCCAGTCCTCATCTTCCCACGTGCTGTCTGTCGGTGGTAACCCTTGCCACTGAACGAGGACTTGGTTGACCCTTGTTCCTTTCCGCCATATTTCCCGGTTACCTACAACTGCTGCTGGGGTATGAGCCAATGGCATATCCCGGGAGGACTCAGGCAAGGCATGGATCTGATACTTCCGGTCAGATTTGAAGGGTCTCAAAAGCGAGACATGGAAAACAGGGTGAATCCGAGCCAAAGGTGGTAACTTTAGACGGTAAGCCACCGGACCCAGACGTTCAGCTACCTCAAATGGTCCATAAAACCGTAAGGCGAGTTTTTGGGAGGAACGGCGGTGCACGGATAGCTGACGATAAGGCTGGAGTCGGAGTAAGACTTGTTCCCCAACGGTAAAAATTCTGTCTTTTCTCTTCTTATCGGCTTGAGTTTTCATATGCGTTTGGGCTCTGAGCAAATTTTCTTTGACTGTTGCGAGGATGGACGCTCGTGAAGACAAGACGTCATCTACCGCCTCGTTGGAAGAAGAGCCCAAAGTGTAGGATAAGAGGTTTGGTGGTGGTCGTCCAAACGTTATCTCATATGGAGTCATGCCCGTTGAACTATTGAAAGCTGTATTGTGGTGATACTCTGCCCAAGCCAGATATCGTGACCAAGAAGAGGGATGGTCAAAGGTAAATGCTCTTAAAAACTGTTCTACACATCTATTCACTCTTTCAGTTTGACCATCCGATTGAGGATGATAGGCTGAACTGAAACACAATGTGGTTCCTTGCAGGGTGAAGAGTGTAGTCCAGAATTTACTGAGAAACAGAGGATCACGATCCGAAATAATAGACCGTGGCAGACCATGTATTTTCCCCACTGTGTCCCAAAACACCTGAGCGATTTTCGTAGCTGTGTATCGGAGGGGCAAAGCTGCAAAGTGTGCTCCTTTGGACAACCTATCCACAATGACCAAAATTGCTGTAAAGCCGTGTGAGGGTGGTAGGTGAGTAATAAAATCCATACTCAAATCAGTCCAGGTCTCTTCTGGTGGTTTGATGGGTGTTAGCAAACCGTATGGAGAGTAGTTGGGAGGTTTGATTTTTTTAACAGATTTCATAGTCGGCCACATACTGACGTATTGTTTTTCTCATTCCCTTCCAGGTGAAATTTTGGGCAATCCTCTGCAGAGTACCAGTGAGGCCAGAATGACCCCCTTGTACTGAAGTATGGAGATCATGTAATAAATGAGGGATGATGGACGACGCAGCTGGCAACACAATTCTATTGCGAAAGAACAACAACCCCTCTTTATTTTTCCAATGATTCCATTTTGCTGGCTCTGTTTGTAATTCTGTTAATATTGTAGCACAATATGGGTCTTGTTGTAATTCTTGTAGGAGTAGGGATTTGTAATCACTAGTTGGACCACTCAAAGCAGCCAGATGAGGAGTGGTTGAATCAGAAACCCCTTCTGGATGTCTGGATAAAGCATCGGCCACAATATTGGCTTTACCAGATT